TTAGTGTGAGCAGAGGCAGATCCAGGTTTACACAGTTTGAGAGGATGTCTTTAAGAGAAGAATACAAGAGTTTCAATAGGAAAGTTGCTATAAAATTAATATTCATGCCAAACACTGTATGCACTACAAAATCCAAAAAATCTATATGATATTTTCCCTAACTGCCTGGCACACTTTTATAATAATTTTCTAATAAGTTTCTACAGTTTTTGACTATAGATTCTTTGATCATTTTTTATATGAAAAAACTTCTGAAATACTTTTATAGAAATACTAAAGGTAATTCAGTCTTTTATCTAGCAGAATTGTTCAAAAATTTTAACTGATAGCTTAGAAAAGTTTATGTTTACAACTCATTGGTAATGCCACATATTTTTGTCCATTTACTCATATGTGCATACATTGTTTGGGCCATCTCTAACCCCACACCATGTTTCTTCCCCCCAACCCCCTCACTTCCAGGCAGAACCTGTTCTGCCCTTTTCTCCAATTTTGTTGAAGAGAAGACATAAACAATAATAAGAAAGACAAAGCATTTTTGCTAGCTGAGATAAGGATAGCTATACAGAGAGATTCCTAGCATTACTTCCAAGCACAAGTATATTACAACCCGAATTGATTCATCTCTACTGACCTCTTCACTGCTTCCCGGTCACCTTCCCAAATTGACCTCTGTCATTTTAAGGTTACTGTATTAAGCTCCTCTGCAGTAGAGACATCAAACACTTTCACTTTCAAATTTTGGGTTTCCTACCTATCCCCATTCCTCCCATATGTGCTCTCCCCTTAGTGTGTGACCCAAATCCAACAACATTGCTGTATTTGCCCTAGATCTAAAGTCCACATATGAGGGAGAACATACAATTTTTGGTCTTCTGAGCCTGGCTAATCTCACTCAGGATGATGTTCTCCAGTTCCATCCATTTACTTGCGAATAATAAGATTTCATTCTTCTTCATGGCTGAGTAAAACTCCATTGTGTATAAATACCACATTTTCTTAATCCACTCATCAGTAGTGGGGCATCTTGGCTGTTTCCATAACTTGGTAATTGTGAATAATGCTGCAGTAAACATGGGTGTGCAGGTGCCTCTGGAGTAACCTGAGTCACATTCCTTTGGGTGTATCCATAGGAGTGGGATTGCTGGATCATATGGCTGATCTATGTTTAGATTTTTAAGAAGCCTCCATATTTTTTTCCAGAGTGGTTGCACTAGCTTGCATTCCCACCAGCAGTGTGCAAGGGTTCCTTTTTCCCCATGTCCTCTCCAACACCCGTTGTTGGTGGTGTTTTTAATGGTATCTATTCTTACAGGGGTGAGGTGGAATCTTAGTGTGGTTTTGATTTGGTAATGCCACATTTTAATGACACTTCTCAAATTTGTTATGCATCTATTATATTTCTTTCATATGTGATGTAAATAAAAATGGCATAGGACAACATTAAATAGGGAAGGACAATTATATTCATTCCTAATGCAATAGAGGAGAGAGACAAGACCTCAGTCTCAACTCCCCTAAAACAAAAGGTGGGAGTGTTTTGAAGGGCTGGGATAAAGTAGAGGGCATACCAAGGACAATGTTAAGGGGAAAGACTGATCAATGGGATATGTCCAGCACATGGAGTTATTACAACTTTACAAGTTGTTTTCTGAGATGGAGACCTGTCCTTGCTTCTTGACATCTATTAAAATTAGGCTCCTACCATTCCAAGGAGGCTGGAAGATAGGCAGGGGGTGTCCTTTCCCTAAGGATTACATTTCAAAGGGATGATGCCCACCTCTTATAGGAAGACATACTTGTGTTATAATGTTATGCTATCTCTGTTAGTATTAGTATTAATTTCAAATCAACCAAAAATGCAAATGTATTTGTAATATGTTCACATGGTGAACATTAATTAAATTACAAAAAATTATTAAAATAAACTAGGCATTATTTCTATTTGAAATATGTGTCTTTAATGAATTGCTGTTAGGGGGTGGGGAGTTACAATTTACTTGTCCATGTGAGAATAATTTTTATTTCTGAAAGTTTTACACAAACCTAAGTTCACATGAATGTATGGACTGGGCCACCCCCGGGAACAATGATGCTGGCCAGGGCCCCAAAGTTTAAGCATTTCATCATTAGCTTCAGTTTAAGTTCATCCCTGCCATTATAGTGTTACAATAAGAAATAAAGGAGCTGAAGAGAAAAGCTGATGTGCAGAGGTGTTGGTGCACTTTTCTTAGGAGAACTTTTCTGTCCGCCGTTCCCAGGATTGTGGGAAAACTTCCTGTGTGTACGCTTGTGTGGGAGCCACTTTCTCTTCCTCAGTGAAAATCTTCCCTCCTCCCGTGGGCCAAACCCAACCCACCAACTGGTTTGCTACGGTCCATAAGCTAAGAATGGTTTATACATTTTTAAATGTTGAAAAGAAAATCTAAAGGAGACTATGATTTTGTGACACACGAAAAATTATATAAAATTCAAAGTTCAGTATCTGTAAGTTAAGTTTCAATGGAAAAACAACCACACCCATTTGTTTACATATTGTCTATAATAGCTATGGTATTATACTGATGTAGTTGAGTAGTTATGACAGCATGTGAAGTCAAAAACATTTACTTTCTAGGTAGTTGTGACCCTTGGTTTCATTATTCTAGCAATACTTAGTATCACTACTTACTAATGCTAACTGTAATGCTTAGTAATATTATCATTGATTGCCCTCCCACAAAACATATGTGGCCTTTTCCTAATCCAAAGAGCTGAATAATTTGGCAGTTCCTGACATTGTTGCATGCTCTTCAGGGAAACCTGTTTTAATCACTCTGTCTTTTGTTACTTCTCAGATCTCTCCATGCAGGCAGTAGGCCACCTCTGTTCTTGCAAAGGCCATCTCACACTAGTTAAATAGAAATATTGTAAATAAAATTACATCTCAAGCTGTCCCTGCTGTTTAAAGATTCTCTTTGAAAATTCAATCAGCAGCACACTTTTAATTTCATATCATCTGATGTTGTTTAGAATTCTGTGACTACAAGCCCAGCAGTTTTCTTCTGGTCTGCTGTTTTCCCAGCATATAAATTTTCCAACTGGGCCCTGAAGACCGAGGTGGAGAGACCATGTGAGATCTGTATCAGTCAGAATTCTACTCAGCTGCATGAAACAGAAACTCAAATAAATAAACTTAACTAAGTGAAAATTTTCCCCATGTAATTTAAAGTCTAAAGGAAAAGCTACTCAGGATTGTAATTTTTTTTTTTTTGATGTAGGTAGATAGGAGTAGGTATGGGTGGAGCCCCCTCTAGTTTCTGGCTCTACCAGTTTTGTCATTTGTTTAACTTTTAACCTTAGAAGTATGAAATAGGCTCTACCTTCCACCTTCTGTCTGAGTTGAAGTAAGGAAAAGGGAAAAGCACAATGGTTAAAAGGAAAAAGAAACTGAAAGCTGTATTTAACAAAGAATGCTATAGCAAGCACTAATAAAACAAATAACATCTGGCCAAGCATTCTCTTAGAATATTTTCAAATAATTATTCATTGATGATATGATTATTGAAATCATATATATGGCCTGCCCTGGAAGAAAAAAAATGCCTGAGAAGGTAAGGATTTCCTCTGGGGAACATTGGCACTTGAGATTATATTAGTAAGCAACAGTAGAAGAATGGATATTGAGCAGACGGCCAACACAATTGGCCCCAGTGCATTTAACAGGGTCAGTGATCTGGGCCATAGCATGGTTGACCAGTCACTTCAGCTGTCTTGATGATTTGTGCCAATCAAGAAGAGGTCAGATGAAACATCCAGAGATAAAACATGACTCAGACAGACTTTTACAGTCATTCGAATGATTAACTTCACTGTAGCCCTAACCTGAGTATTATAGAGGCTCTTTTATTTATTTTTTGTTTTGATGGCAAGCCATTCCCCCACATGGATGAAAGTTAGGGAGTTAATAAGAGACTGAATAGGTTGCCTTCTCTCCTGGGAAGATAAGAAAAGAGAGAGTGGAAAAGAAAAAACCTAAGACCTTTAACACACCTGTATTTGTTGGGGGAGAGCGTCATTACCTGCTTAATAAAATTTTATTTTTGTCAATACCTTCCAAAATGCAATTTGGTGTTTATAGAATGTTAATATAGGCAGAGACTTTTCTTGCAATTACTCCCATGTTTCCTCATTCTTCTTTTTTTTTTTTTTACTAAGAAAACTGAAGCTCGGAATAGAGTAGTATCTACCTATAGGGTTTGTGTGTGTGTGTGACTTTAATGTTTCCCCTTGTTTATATTTAATTCACACAATTTCAATCTTACTCTTACTAGCAAAACACTTTATTTTCATTAACTTCCAATACTTCCACCAGGCGGATAGTCCAACATGGACACAGCATCACATGTAGCAGCAACAATCTTGGGGGCTTGATTTTTATATTGCTTTCAGCACTAAGTCATAAACATTTTTTTAAAGCAATTAAATTGTTAAGTCTGTATTTGCTTCCAAAAGGAAAATGCTTATTGAAATTGTTATCACAAAATAACTGCTGTTTCCACTTTCATAGGTAGGAGGTTTTAAAGATCTATAATTTATTTACTGGGGATTTGGAGTATTACACTGTGGCAGAGAGAGGGGTGGGTTGTATTTTCCCTTGCTGACACCTTACATTGCTATGAATGATTACATATAGAGGAGTGCAGTGCCAGTTCATTTGTCTAAATTGTTCCACCAGAACACAGCTAGCTCTCTATGTACTTTGTTAGAACAATTCTACCTTATTCATAACAGTGAGGCAATGTGGTGATTGGGAAGAGGATAGATTTGATGTCACAGAGACCTGAGTTTAAATGACTGCTGTGCTGCATACTACCTATATGATCTTGGACAAGTCACTGACATCTTTGATCCTTCCTTTCTGTAAAGTGGGAACAATAACTCATATAGAATCATTGTGAGGGCTATGTTTAGGGTTGCCTTTTATTTCCATCCTCATGTTTTGTGTTTTCTTGGTACAGAGGGAAAAATTTATAAAACTACTGGACCAGTTGCATAACTCTTTAAGGATTGACCTGTCAAAATATAGAGTAAGTACATTATCTGCCTACAGGTAAACTGTTCAGTTTGCTTCACATGAATTCCTGTCATGCTATAAAATTACTCATTGTGCAAAGGAAATGCAACCATACTGATTCTGGGTCCTGTAAGATCAGAAGTAATCTTGTAGATCTCTCTAGTTGTCAGGTACTGCACAATAACAGCAATACTCTTGGTGTATATGCATTTAGTTTGTGTTTTTAAATATAACCATCATATATAGTGATCCTCAGCTAATTCATGAAGTAGATATATAGCTCAGTTCTCATTTGGGAAATTTACCCCGTGTTACTTAGAGAGGCTGCTGATATTTCCTAAAATTCTGGAATTTCCACTGGAATTTTCTGCTTAACTCTCTCCTCCTAGATCAATATAATATGCTCATTCAAAGCTGTCCAGAGTTCATTGTCAGCATTCTATTATTTTACTTCCAGGTGAAATATATCCACACCCAAATATATTCGTGTATGTATGTACACAAATGTACATAAATATAATTTTAGTTATACAATGTCTTAGTTATAAAAATTAGTTATAAATCTTAGTTACAAAAAAGCTAGTCATAACCATAGCTGTTCTGTTACATCTCATGTTCCTTAATGGTTTAACCTAAACATTCTTATTGGCATATATGCATGTTGTCTCCTTTCATTTTTAATTAGCCTATTATAGGTTCCTTAATTGCATATTTTTGGAAATTGCAAACCAAATTTTATCAAGGTCACATTGCATGTTGGAACTGAGAAGAGAAATGCAGGGCATGCCAGCCATATAAAAAGATATTTGGGGCAAGGAGAACCTTGAGGCCACATAACTCACCATCATTTAGGCACCCCAGCCCTCCTTGCATTCATGAGAAATACCTAGAAGTTAGCTGTGGTTTTTCTGATGTCTATTTAGAAACCCAGCTTGAGAACAAATTAATATGAGAAATTTCTCAATGTTGAAAGCATTTCTTTATTCATATATTTTCTTAATTATACCTTCCGTTTCCTGAAAATTCTATTTTTATTATTTATTTGTTTTTTTGATGGTGTAGTCTACCATGGAGCCACACTCCTGGCCCTTTCTGCCTAGTTATTTCCTGAATAGGGTCTTACTGTTTTTTGCCTGGGCTGCCATCCTCCTACTTATGTCTTTTGTATAGCTTGGATTATAATATGTGCCACCATATCTGGCTTGTTTATTGAAATGGACTCTCACTACTATTTTGCCTGGGATGACCTTGAATCACCATCCTCCTGATCTCTGCCTTTTGAGTACCTGGGATTATAGGCATTTGAAGAACCGTCCTTTTAAATGACACATTTCACCAAACCTTACTAAAAGAAATTTTTTGTTGAAATTCACAGTACTTGAAGAGAGACTACATAGTGCAATCTTAATTTTTTTATTTTTACAGATTTCTTTCTAACTAAAAAAGTAAACATATCATGTATACAATGCACAAAGTATTTTTGAAAATAATGTTAACTATCTTTAGAAAATAGTGAAAGATTTTTGGATGCCTTCCCTTCTTTTAGTAGCAAAAACATCTTATGAACAAGATCAGCGGTGTTAATGTCGCAATACTATTGTACAATATTACGAAACCATGAGGTGAATAAAAGGGTACGCATTTCTAAGATGAAGAAGAGAATATTTTCAAACCTTCTAATTACCATACTGTTTTATCATAAAAATGTTTTCAGAGTATTTTAGGAATGTTATGCAAATGTTATGCAGTTTACTTCCTGTGCTCTTTCACAGTAAGCTGGTTTTAGTTTATTTTCCTACTAAGTATTTAAGTCTGGCTACTTTACCCATTTTCTGTTTCTTACTTAACCAGGAAAATTTTCCTGCCAGCAATAGTGAGCGACTGCAAGACCTCAAGTCAACTGTTGACCTGCTAACAAGCATCACCTTTTTTAGGCTGAAGGTATCTCAATCTATTTCTGTCATTGTCTTGGTGTGACATAAGAGCTTTATTCAAGAACAATTCATTTCTTAATAGAGCTGTGTTTTACACTCCTCCTGATCAGTACTGTCCAACCCCAGCAATTAACCCTGAGCTTAATGAATCTTCCAGTGTAAGGTATATTGGAGAAAGAAGTCTGTGGACACTCTGATACACTTGGCTCAAGATATAGTTTTCAATTAAACTTACCTTGAATAAGGCTCTCAAGTAAGTGGGTATGCCACTTTTATAAAGGTCTCAAAGAAAAGCAAGTGGAAATGGAGTTCACTTAGTTAACTCAGCTGTTTTGTGATATTTCATTATAAGACAGGAGGTTACTCTTAGGAACCCAGTGGTGGCAACTTCCATTTTCAGCCTTGGCAGAGTTTATATTGGAATATATTTGATCACTTAGTCCATTGGTATAATTGGCTATTATCTACCAAACATCTGGGTACCTTGTTTCAGATACATCTTCTCTGCTTTAATAGCAAGCTCTCTATATTCATAATTTTGGTCACCAATTCAACCCAAGTCTTTTCAAAAACAGTTCACCAGGCTATGGGCTAAGCATTTTCACTTTCAAAGGATGAAAACATTCTTGGTCAGAATGCACAGGGACAGAAAAAATACATTTTTCTTAGTTGCCCATGACCTTTTTTATTTATTTACTCAAGACATTAAAAATGTATTTTATAATATAAGAGATAGAAAACGAAAACATACTAGTATCAGTGCTCTTTTAGTTTGTTTAAAGTTTGATTAAAGTCATTTGGCATAAATCAGGCTTTCATGGGTAACTGGATAACTAGATTGACATCCATTCTCACCGCCTGGTAGCAGCTGCTCAGGCAGCGTGCAAGAGAACAACAGTGAGACCCAGTAAAGTCTCACTGGGAAGTTGACTCAGATGGACAGGTGATGCCAGCCACTGCCACTGATAAGTGAGGAAATAGGACTGGGGGAAGAGAGGAAGAGAGTGCCAACACAGTGCTAAGCATCTGCCATGCCTTGGTTACAATCCTCCCAGTACTTAGAAAACACAACATCCTCAAGTGTGTAACTCCCCCTCCCCCACCCTCACTATCCACTGATTACCTTGCTTCTTATTTCACTTAAAATCCTCAAGTGTGTAACTCCCCCTCCCCCACCCTCACTATCCACTGATTACCTTGCTTCTTATTTCACTTAAAATCCTCAAGTGTGTAACTCCCCCTCCCCCACCCTCACTATCCACTGATTACCTTGCTTCTTATTTCACTTAAAATCCTCAAGTGTGTAACTCCCCCTCCCCCACCCTCACTATCCACTGATTACCTTGCTTCTTATTTCACTTAAAATCCTCAAGTGTGTAACTCCCCCTCCCCCACCCTCACTATCCACTGATTACCTTGCTTCTTATTTCACTTAAAAGAAACAGGAGTAAAGAGAAAAGAGTATCCTCAAGTTCCTGCAGCATAATTCTACTACCTACTGCATCTTGTTGCTTATCTGCCTGTGGCCATTGTGTCTTCCTTCTTTTTTATTACAACTAATGGCCCATCTCTTCTAGAAATGACCGTCTCTTCCACCTGTGCAATTATTTCGTCTTTTCTTGTATACTAACACATTGGTCCAGCCATCCTTCCCATTCTGCTGAATTACCAATTTTTCCCTCTCTACTGGTACTGCCCATTACCAAATATGTTTTTAATTTCTCACTCTTTAAAATACTGCCTGACTCCACCTCTTTCTGTAGCTTCTACCCCAGATCCTCTTTGCCCCAGTTCCAAAACTCTTCCAAATCATATTCTACACATTTTCTTTCTGCTTTCTTTCCTCCATTGTCCTTTAAACAAATGTTCTCCTCCAATCATCTTTTGTTCTAATTATAGACAGTAATTCAGTCCTTTTGTTGTAGAGGTCTATTAATTTTGACAAATGTGTAGTTGCATAATCATCACCACAGTAAGATGCAGAACAGTTCTAAAAACCTGCACAAGTGCCTTGTAGTGTCTATTTGTACTCAGTCCTTCTCCACCACCAATGTTCTTTACTTGTAGGTCTGGCTTTTCCAGAGCATCATGTAATTGATCTATGCTACACTATCATAACATGTTAGAGATCCATTAATGTTGTTGAGTGTATCAAGAGCTCACTCTTTTTTGTTGCTGAGTAGTAATTGTATATGCACTACAGATTGTTTATTCATTCACTGACAGACATTTGGGTTGTTTCCAATTTGAGGTTATTACAAATAAAACTTATAAATATGCATGTACAAGTTTATTGTGTAAGCATAACTTTCATTTTCCTTGGGTAAAATCCCCAGCTGCAATGCATAGTTATTGGTGATTCCATCTGTTCTGTGTCTTCTAGTAAAGTTTGTTAGTATTTATTAATTCTCTCTCTCTCTCTCTCTCTCTCTCTCTCTCTCTCTCTGCCTAACATTGTCTCTTATTGTGAACTTTAAATTTTTCTAAAACTTGATAATGTGGAGCACATTTCCTGGCCTGATTTTGTATCTAAATATCTCTTGTCATGCAGAAATGAATGCTCATTTTCATTAGGTTATTTTCTTATTGTTGATTGTTTTTGACTACTAAAATTAAAAGATAAAACTACATTTATTATGCACATAATATTTTGAAAAATGAATACATTTGAGTAGCTAAACATAGCTAATTAACATGCATTACTTCACAAACTTATTTTTGTGGTGAAAATATTTTAAAATCTATTCTTTTTTGTATTTTTCAAGAATACAATATTCTTGAGTTTTAAGAATTCTTTGCTACCTTCTGGATACAAGCTCTTTTTCAGATATATGCTTTGTTAATATTTTCATGACAGCCATTCTGGCTTGGGGGAAAGGATATTTTCTTGTGGTTTTGATCTATATTTCTTTGATAACTAAAGGTGCTGAGTATTTTTTCATATATTTGGCCATTTGTATTTCTTCTTTTGAGATATGTCCGTTGACGTGATCTGCTCATTTTTAAACTGAATTATCTTTTGTTGTGAAGTTTTTAAAAATTTTTTTGTGTCCTAGATATAAGTCCTCATTAGATGAATAGTTTACAAATATTTCCTCCCATATGTAGGTTGTATATTTACTCTGTTAATTGTTTTATTTTGCTACACAGAGCATCTTCATTTGACATAATTCCATTTGCTTTTGTTGCTTGTGTTACAGGGGTTTTATGCAAAAAAACACATCATTTCCTAAACTAATGCCATGAGGTAGCTCCCCGTACTTTCAGGTCTTATTCTTAGGTCTGTTTTGAGTTGATGTTTGTATAAGTTGAGTGGTAAAGGCCAAGTTTCATCCTTCTGCATATGGATATCCAGTTTCCCAGATCATTTACTGAAGAAACTAACCTGTCTACAGTGTGTGATTTTGGTGCCTTTGTTGAGAATCAGTTGGCTGTAGATGCATGAATTTATTTCATTTGGTCTATGTGTCTGTTTTTATGCCAATAAATGTCATCTTGGCTATTAAAGACCTATAGTATGTTTTGAGATCAAGTATTATCATGCATCCAAATTCATGCTTTTTGCTCAAGAATACTGTAACAAATAGAGTCTTTTGTGCTTTCATATAAAATATAGTATTATAGTTTTCTAATTCCATGAAGATTGTAACTGTTAATTTGATAGGTATTATGTTGAATTCATAAATTGCATTGGGCAGTATGGAAATTTTAATAATATAAATTATCCTAATCCATGAACATGAGAGGTCTTTACATTTTTTTGTGTGTCTTCTTCAATTTCTTTGATCACTGTTTTATAATTATTGTAGAGATCTTTCACTTCCTTGGTTGAATTTATTCCTAAATATTTTTGTAGTTATTGAGTAGGATTAATTTTACATTTTCTTTTGCTATAAATCCATTACCAGTGTATAGAAAAGCTACTGATCTTTCTGCTAACTTTGAGCCTACTACTTTACTAAATTTATTTATCAGCTTTAATAGTCTTTAGGTTTTCTATACTTAGGATCATGTCATTTGCACACAGAGATGCTGGGGCTTCCTACTTTCCTATTGGTGTCTTTTATTTCTTAATCTAGCCTAATTGCTCTAAAACTTCCATGATTATGTTGTATAAGAGTGGTGAAAGTGGATATCTTCACCTTCTTCCAGATCTTAGGGAAAACACTTTTCCCCATTCAGTATGATGCTGACTACTGATTTGTCATATGTAGTCCCTATTATACTCAGATGCATTCCTTCTATACTTAATTTGTTCAGAGTTTTTCCATGAAGAGATTTTACCTTTATTGAATACTTTTTCTGTATCTATTGAGATAATCATAGTATTTTTTCCTTCATTCTGATTTGCAGATATTGAACCATCTTTGTATCATTAGCATAAATCACATGTAATCAAGGTAAATAATTTTTTGATGTGTTGCTAGACTCAGTTTGCTAGGATTTTATTAAGAACTTTCATATCCATGTTGATTAGGGTTTTTGCCATATTATCATTTCCTCCTTCCCTTCCTCCCCGTTTCTTCTCTCTCTCCCTCCCTCCCTCTCTCTCTCTCTCATCTTTGTCTGGTTTTGGTAATGCTGGCCTTGTAGAAAGACTTTGGAAGAGCTACATTCTTTTCAATTTTTGGAATAGTTTGAGAAGAGCTGATGTTATTTCACCTTTAAAAGTTTGGTAAAATTCAGCAACAAGCCCTCTGGTTCTGGATTTTTCATTGTTCAGGTACTTTTTATTACTGACTCAGTCTTACTATTAGTTATTAGTCTGTTCTGCTTTTCTGTTTTTGTGTTTCAATTCTGATAGGCTACATGTGTCCAGAAATTTATTCATTTCTTCTAGGTTTCCAGTTTGTTGCCTTACAGTTTTTCACAAGAGTGAGTCTCTAATGATTCTTTGTATTACAGTGGTATCACTTATAATGTTTCCTTTTTTATCCCTAATTTCTTTTTAATTTGTGACTTTTTTCTTTACAGTTAGTTGGGTAAAGGTTTGTCAATTTTATTTACATTTTCAAAAAAATTCTGTATTTCACTGATCTTTTGTGTTATTTAGACTCCATTTTCCTTATTTCTGCCCTAATTTTTGTTATTTCTTTCCTTCTATTAATTTTGGATTTGGTTTGTACTTGCTTTTCTATGTCTTTTGTGTGTGTTGTTAAATTACTTATTTGAAATCTTTCTGGGGTTTTTGTTTTATTTTTAATGTAGGTGTTTATTGTTATAAACATCTTTCTTATTAATGTTTGCAAACCCATACAATTTTAGTATATTATATATCCATTTTCATTTGTTTCAAAAATTTTTTAATTCCCTTTTGATTTATTCAATAACCACTGCTTGTTTTAAAGCATTTTGTTCCATTTCCATGTATTTGTACAATTTATAAAATTTGTATTATAGTCTTGAGTTTTATTCCATTATGGTTAGAGAGCAGCATAAAGTAATTAAGATTTTTAAAGCAATCTTAAAACTTTGTTTGTTGCTTTACATGTGATCTATCCTAGAGAATTTTTCGTGGACTGATGAGAAGACTGTGTATTCTGTAGCTGTTGGATGAAAAGTTATATAACTGTCTAGTTGCTCTATAGTACGTAGTTGAATTCTGATGTTTCATTGTTGAATTTTTAATTCAGATAATCTGTAAACTCATAAAAGTGGAGTGTTGAAATCCCACACTATTACCATATTGGAACCTGTCTTTTCCTTAAGATCTAATGTTTGCTTTAAACTTAAATATATGCTCTTCCATTAGACATGACATTGGGAATTGTCATGTCTTTTGATTGAATTAATACTTTGATCATTAAACAATGACCTTCTTTGTCTCTTTTTTATAGGATTTTACTTAATACCTATTTTATCTGATATAAGTGCAGCTACTTCTGCCCACTTTTGTTTTCGGTTTGTGTGCAATATCTTTTTCTATTCCTTCACTTTCAGTCTGTGTGTCTTTACAGGTGAAGTGAGTTTTTTTAGGGGGTATATCTTAGGTCTTTTTTTCAATACATTCTAACAGTATATATCTTTTCATTGTGTAATTTAATCTGTAATTTGCTATTTTTCTTAATTTGTAAAGACTTACTCTTGCCTTTGCATTAATTTTCTTCTGGTTATTTTAAATATCTTTTGTTCTTTTTATCCTCTTTTGTTGTTTTTGTATTTAGTTGGTTTTCTGTATTGATAAGGTTTGATTCTTTTCTCTTTCTCTTTTGTGTATTTGATCTTCTATTGATTTTTACATTTTATATGTTTTCATGATGGTACTTATCATTCTTGTCTAAATATAGGATTCCCTTAAGCATTTTTTGTAAAGCTAATCAGGTGGTGATAAATGAAAGAAATCTTTTCTTTCTTTTTTTCATTTTCTTAGTGGGACTAGGGTTTGAACTCAGGACCTCTCTCTTGCAAAGCAGGTGCTCTACCTCTGGAGCCACACCTCCAGTCCATTTTGCTCTGGTTATTTTGGAGATGGGTGTCTCATGAACTATTTGCCCATGCTGGCCTTGAACCATGATACCTCCAATCCCAGCCTCCCAAGTAGCTAGAATTACAGGCATGAGGTACCAAATTAAGTTAGGTCATTTTGCTCTTCTAGTCAAAGTGCCAAGTTTTTCCTAATTTAATCAGAACTCAGGTTCTTATAGTAGGCTATATGTTGTTTTCCCCATTTGCATCTTGTCATGATTGTGACTTCATCTACTATTGCTGCCCACTGTATTGATCCTATTTCAGTGACATACTTCCTAACCCTTCTCCACTACTTTTTTCTTTTCAGCATGCATTACTGTGTACCATATTTCACTTGCTTTCTATTTATCTGCCACAATCTAAGCCTGTGGTAAAGAGATCTTGTTCATTGCTGATAGTTGTTCATTGCAATATCACTGTGATCTGACATATAGTAAGCAATAAATATTTGTCGATTGATAAAATACAACTGTTTAAATGTTAGTTATTGGTCACCTTAGGTTTTCCTGTTTGAATGTTTACAACTATATACATTATTGATAAGTTGCTATATCAGAAAGTTAAAATGAATATTTCTACATTTAAAAGTTTTCTCAGACCACATTTCTTAAATATAAACAAATCAACTATGGTATATTGTTTAAGTGGTTTTTATTGGATCACAAACATTCTACATGTTTAAGGAAATAATTTATCTGTCAGGTTCTAGAGCTGCAGAGTCCCCCAAAGGCCAGCATGGTGGTGAAAGACTGTGTCAGGGCGTGCCTGGATTCTACATACAAGTACATCTTCGACAATTGCCATGAACTCTATTCCCAGCTAATAGACCCGGTAAGAAAAGATGTATGTGTTTTATGATCTCTACGCTTCTTTCTAATGTATTTTTCAGTAAGTTTATAATGACAGTAAATGGGAAAGCATGCTCATTTAATGTTCATAATAGCTGCAGGTTTGAGAATTTCTATACTGTTTCTTCACATCTGAGCATCACATTCATATACATGAGCTAATTTGCATCTCACAATAACTTTATGTAGTAAAGGCATATATTGTACATATTATTGCTCAGATCTAGAAGAATGAAGTGATTTGCTAAAAGTCACAAAGTGGCAGATTTGGTTCTACCTGTTAGGATACCAACTTCTGTTGCTGTGTTCTTCCCCTAACTTAAATTGCCTCTCTGATCATTTTACCCCACAAAAGTGATAGATGGGGAAATTTTTATCACAACAGGATAGTAAAATTATTATAATGTTAATTTGTTAGTAAGAATCATGTCGAAGCTATTAAAAAAAACACAGAAGGTAAATGAAGCAGCATCATATACTTGTCACTAGAAAACTAAACATGAACATTTAGCATTATTTGTTCTTCTCTTTATCATTTAAAGACACTAAATATGTGACATAAAATGACATTTCACTTTATATTTCTTCCAAATTCCTTCCTTTTTCTTTCCTTTTCACAGAGGTGAACAAAGATGTTATATGAGTGCGTTTTATCCTTTCACCTGTGTTCAAAGAACTTGAGTTTTACCTTCCGTGAAGTGCCTATTAATATTTTGATGATTCATTTTCTTGGCATGCTTCTCTTTTCCTTTTCAATTTGTAGTTATTCTAAAATATACTCCAAATATTTCTGTTTTGTAGCTTATGTGGATTTCATATATCCCCTCTTATAATATGTGTCTTTTTTCACTGGAGTTTTTTAATGCACACTATGAGATATAGATCGCTATTACTTCTAGAAAATTGGTATTTGGTGTTGGTATTTTATAATGTGTGAATTGTCTATCCTCCTGTCTGAAGAATGTAGTTTCCATGGAACTTTTCTGGCTCCATAGGCAAGGAAAATTCTAGAAAGCAAAGGTCAGATGAAGGCAGGTAGCACCCCAAACCAAACTGGGTTTCAAGCTAGATTTCATTCTGGGATCACTGATTCCTTTGCCTAATTTGAGGAAAAAAAACAAAAAACTTAAAGCTGGAGTTTGGCATTGTATAAGCAAAACTGTGTATAACCTCATGCTTGTTTATAATTTTAGTTTGTCAACTGCACCACAGATGCTCTAATTTGAAATACATTTTTGGATTCCTGGTGATTAAAGTAGCTCTCACTTGCTCTTTCCCAATGGCTTCCCTTGGTCTGTACTCTACTCTCTCTTCCTCCCACAGGCCTTTTCAGTTCTACTTTTTTTTATATATCATTGTCTTTATTTTACCCAAAAGGTAAAATACAAACTTCTTGTAATATGTAGCCACAGAGTTGAGGCAATGGTGGGCGAAGTGCGGGGTCATTGGATAGAAAGTACTCAGAGGTAACCTCAAGGTACTGGGGGATTCTGGCTAAACCAATCTGACAGAATTCTTGCTGAAGGCAGACCAGGGACAAGTAGAGAAAGGAAACTCAAAAGGTCAAAGGATGAGGTGGGGGAAGTTCTGGATTAACGGACGTAAAAGACTTTTACTAAAGTTGGACAATGCAGAAACTAACATGGGACCCCAAAGGTTGAGGCATTGCTAAAAAGAATGCTCAGAAGAATCTGACCAATGTTTGGTCAAAGAAAGAATCTTTTCCAACATGCATACTCAGTGAATGACTCAAGCTGCCAAAGTCATCTGGAACTTCTAACTTAATGTCTTTCTAACACATAAATAATTATCACAAAAATAATCACCTATGAGAAAGTCTCATAGGCAATTCCTATAAAGCAAATGTGCCACTAACAAAAAGCAAATAATTTGTATCACATCAAAATAAATCAAACATAGCTTAGAATTTTCAATTTGGTTTTGAAAAACAAAAAATTTACATAATTTGTGTAGTAAATAGATTGCTTTTTAGTAGCTAGGTCTGTGGATTTCATATGAAATCTTTTCAATGTTTGGAACTAAGCTTTAAGTATAAAAAAAGATGTTTCCATAAACATTGTTCAAATTTGAAATTCTAATAAAAGTACTCATTGGATCTAAATAATTTAGGGAGCTAATACTCCCTGGAACCATCCTAAAGCCATCTAGGGATAACTCAAGGGTAGAGTGTGATCTTCTGCCACTGGACTACTACAACATTCAAAATAGATCCAAAAAACTTCAAAATACATTCCAAAGCCTGGCCACATTTCACTAGCTCCATGTTTCTAACCTGGTCCAAGCTTCCAGTGCTGATCACTTGGTTTGCTACATAACTTCCTCACAGAGGTAAATGCATTCACCCTACCTCTCATTGTCTAGTCTCAGCAAATAACCAGAGTTGTCCTTTAAAAAAGTAAGTCAGATCATATCATTCTTCATAGGAAGCAGTGTCCTGTTCTGTGATGAACTTGGTGCTTGCCTTTTGCCAAGCACTGGGACATGTGGCAGGGTTCTGGGCAATAAGAAATGAAAGTCACTTCTACTCCCAACCCATAAAACCTCTTGAAATATCCTCCAGCTCTCTCTCCTGCTACAGCAATATGAAAGGACAATATTCCAGATGGATGAGCTACCAGATGGAGAAGAGCTGCCCAACTAGTTTTAGACTTTGGATGATTAATTGCATCAAGTCACTGATAGAGATTTATTTGTTACCACAGCATAAACCAGTGTATTTTAACTAGTAAGCCTTGAAATCCATTTCCAATATGCCACTTAAAGTATTTAAAATATATCCATGTCTATGTGACTCCATTTCTAACTCTTGACTGGATTTTCCATTCCTTTGTGGGATTAACTCCAATCTCTTTGCCATTCTCAAAAGGCTCTGCAAGGTCTGAGCCCTGACTCTCTTTCCTTACTTCATCTTTACTTTGCATCCTATGATTCAGTACACTAAGCTCCATGAAGTCTTTTCTTACATTATCTTTACCTAAATAGAGTGAGCTTTTCCTTCCTAACCCCTCTCCTCATGGCTAGCTTCAGCCAGCTGACCTTTTCTTCAGAATGCCCTTATGACCTCTCTTAGCTAGATTAGATGCTTCTGTTCACTTTTCTCCTAATGCCTGACTGTTCACTACCATATACTTGAATGAAACATTGATTGGGTACCCAATATCCGTTTGACCCATCTTGTTCATTGAACTGTGAGTTTCATGTTTGTATCCCAGTGTATAGTGGTGTGCCTGACTCAGAATAGGACTGATAAACAAAGTAATTAGCTAGTAAAGAATAAACTTTATAAAATAGTATTGCCTCTATTAGTTATCTAGAGTCTCCTTCAGTGACTCTAAAGTTTATGGTCAAGAGCATGAACTCTGATATCAAAACCCTGAGTTCAAATCTCAGCTTTATTGCTTAGCTTTGTGACCTCGATGAGCTACTTAGGCCCTTCGTGTCTCAATTTTGTTATGAGGGTATCATATTTAAATTCATGCTACTTCTGTTTTTTTTCTGAGTTCTCTCTTGCTTATGTAATGCATGAAACCAAAAATCAAGAATTCTAAGGCTATTAGACACACGATGATTCTAATTATTTAAATGTGGAAGCATACTTTCTCTCTCCAAAGGGATTTTAAAAAAGCCATTTAAAAATGAAAGGTTTGGAATAAAAAAGGAAAATCAATTTGTTAGAAAGTCTGGACACATGGTCTCCTCTCATCTGGTTTAGCACTTATCTTGGCTAAACCACCCACTCAGTGTCCTTCAATTTAGCATAATCAGCTCCTCTGTGTGCATGTAGACAGGTGATTGTTCTCTTGCACAGAGATTCATGAGAAATCAGTCCATAAACTAGGATAGGTATTCATTCAGCAAACATATATTCAACACAGCTATATGCAAGATTTTCATAAATGTTGAGGGTAACACAAGGAACAAATGATAATTTCTTGAGAATAAAAATAACTGAGAAAACATTTCAAACAGGTATGAAAATGTTTCAGCTTATCCTCTTCAGGAAGAACATCCATATAAAGGCAAGAGATCTGTCATCTGAAGGTTACTTTAGGAACGATGTCCAGCAGCATGGGAAATTAATTGGATAATCTAAACAGTAATCGTCACCAATCTAGAATACATCTATTTCACTAAAATCAATGAGAAAACCTGTATTTGTGGAAGGGAAGGATAGATAAGACTTCCTTTGTAAATATATTTCTAATGGAATGATCCTGAGCTATTTTCAGATGAATAACTCAGCTCCATGAAAGCCAGTCAATAAAAGAACCTTTTTCAATACACCAAAAAACAAAATGTTTATCAATTGATTTCATCTGTCTTTACCCATGCATACCTGTCCTGACCTAGAAACTTGTTTATATAGATAATCCAAATCAAGACAATGAAAACCGATACACTCTTGATCTAAAGATGCTGCTGTTTTAATTTTAAATGTTTTGGTCACATTAAGTGGTTTATTGAATAACTGTCTAAGAAAAATTTACCAAGATCTCTCTTAACTAAAATACACTTATCCTTTTAACTTTGAAGAACACCTAGGGTGATTTTTTTTTCTAAATCTGATTTTGAATCTAATTGGAAAATTTATAGCTAAACATAAAAAGCAATCAGTCTAAAGTATTTGGCATTCATGTGATAATTTCTTTTGAAATTTTGAAATGACCTTGTTTTGTTACAGCACAGCATGATTGATATATAACTAAGGTGAAAATGTATCATTTAACAAAGAGCGAGGCATTTAAAACCAATAAGAACATTTTCCTGCTTTATTAATTTTTGGAGTTATTGAGAACCATACATGCATGCTTATGAAAAATCACATAATATGCTTAACTTCCTTGTTTCCCTCTCAAATCAAACCGCTTACCTCTTACCTCAGAGGCAATCTCTACTATGAGTTTGATATAAGCTTTCTGATTCATCTTTGTGCACATTTACTTTATTTGTCTACCATCCACTTGTGATATGCTCTTTGTCTCCATCAAATTATGATAAATTATGTTGTAGCGGTAGGCAGTAGAGTTTTATGGTTGCATGTACTAATTCCAGAAACAGACTGTCTAGATGTTACTATTTGAATGAGTTCTTCTATTGTTTTAAAAGCTCAGTAACACTTTTGAGAGCTATCTATGCTGATAATGTAAGTACACTTAGTTTTTTGTATTTAAATTTTTAAGCGATACTTAAGACATTATTTTTAGAGCTGTGTATAGCATAAATATACCACAATTTTATATAAATCATTTTTTTACTATCTCAAACAAGAGAGTAATGAATATCTTTGTGATGTGTACACCTTCTAGTCCATTCTCTCAAAAGACAAGAGAATGACTCCCTTTTCTCCATTTCCCTTTCTACTATAGGAATTGATACTTCATATTGAGCCATCATGTATGATGTGAACAAGAACACCCTTTACTTTTTCACATGTCCTAAGACTTTTTTCATGTCTGATTCTTGAAGTAAACACTGACTTTAATGAAAACAGAAACTCCAGGAATATTATTGAGTTTATAGTTCATAACCTGGTGCCTGACACAGAGTAGCAAAAATCAACAAATACCCAAATGGTCTATATTAGATTCCAACATTTCCCTTAGCTCAAGTTTTTTAAAAACTCTAAATTTCTGGAGCTAAATATGGTGTATTTGTATAATATTTCAAATCAAGTGCTTAATCTTCAGAAAGCCTCTCAATTGATATGATTTTAACATATGACAAGTAGAGTACTGAGTCATATTTTTATGACTCTTTCTGACTCATTTGATCATATATCAGTGGTGACCACCATTGTAGAACCAAGGAGTATAATCAATATTTCATCAAGTAGTTTTTATTTCCATGTATTCTCACTTTAGAAAGTTTTATTCTTTATCCTTAATTCAAAATGATACCAGACAGAAATTATATGCTTCTTTGTGTTTTAATGCCTTTGATTAACTTGTTGGGAACATATAGTATTTCATTGAAGGTAGTACATTGAGTTACCTCACTCAAAATTTATTCTATCTGTCACACCATGGCTTTTGTACTTACTTGGGAAGTCAGTGGACCTTAAATCTGTTAGTTTTAAAATGTAGTCATTGGTTTAGATATGGGACATTTTAGAAAATCAAATTATACTAAATTCGTAAAGAGTTCCTTAAACATAATGAGATGAAAATATACATTTCCTTACAATTGTTTGATATTAGGTTAGTGG